AATTATAATAATTTGTTTTTGTTTATACAATCATATTGGTATGTAAAAGTGAATTAATTGTGTTTTTGCTACACTTCAAAAAAACTGAATTTACATTACAATAATATAATAATATTAAGATGGCTCAGTAGTCTACTTAGACTATTGGGTGATAGGATAATTTAAGGACAAAGCCTGGGCCCTAGCTTAAGAAAGACAGATGTTGCACGTGTATCAGGCCCCGTCAGCTGATTGACCCAAGGGACGGGGACTAAATTTACAAATGCATGTTAAATATAAAGTAATTAAATACGTACATTAAGTTACGTTAAACCCCTAACCTTTTATGATATAGTCAATACTAAATCCTCTATATGGATAGTTGTAATGTAGTAATGCTATAAAATATACCAAAGTAGATATACACGTTAATCATTCTAGGGATATGTGAAAAACATTAACATTTGAATCGTTGCAGAAACATTTTCTATTCTTTCTACACAAGCCATTCATATTCAAGCGTCATACTCTTAAACTACCGTTTTAATGGGATTTTTTTTTTCTTTTTTTAACATGTGGTACTGTAATTAAACACTTCTGAAGGATTATTATTACACATAGTTCATGTACTTATCATGTTTACTTGGAAACAATACGGCAGAAGCTTATATTATAATATTTTGTTATTAATTTTAAACCACTAATACCCGTCGCCCAGCCTGTTTTAGCCGTGATGTTTCAGAATATTATTGAGGTATGCACATCCTAGCAAAGTGATTCATAACCTGCGGTTCGGAGAGTCAGTCTCGGGGGTTCGACGGTAAGACACATGACAAATATGATTCAAGATTGATTTTGTCATTACAGACAGTACAACCATTAAGAAAGGTTCAATTAATGCGCTTATGAAACTGGTTGGGTTCGGTACGTTAAAAAATGTTAAGAGCTGAACTTCAGCACAGCGTTATATCTTGGATTCCAGTGCAAGAACATCGGAATCTTAACACTCTATGATTGGTGTACGTTTTAAAACATAATAAAAGACTTACGTTCGATTTCCTTCATTAAGCGTCAGGTTTTGTAAGGTTACAACAAACTGATTTTTTTATTTTACTTTTTAGTGCATTTTTCAATTGTAAATATAATAAACGCTTTATTCCTTATTTTTATAAATTATTTTGTGAGATGTATATACATATAATACGACGTCTATATCGAAAAGTACATGCTTTTGGAATTCAGAAAATTTACATGATTACGCATATTTTGCTAATACTGTTTATAATAATAAACTTGAGTTTGTTTACACGTTTATGTAATATTTATATACTAGCGTACCCGTCCCCGCGCGTTGCCGCGGGATCAGAAGATAGTCAGACGAAATATATAAGAAGGGATTCATCCGTGCGTTACCAACCCTATATTCCTAGACTCGTGACCTTGTTTTCTAAAAGTGAGCTATTTAAATGTAAACAATGCCTGCGCTTGGATCATAAATATCGGGACACAGGTTTACCTACACTACCGCGTGAAAACCATATGTGTACATTAATCACTCATCGAAATAATGAGGTAGAACACACTCCAGTGACCACCCATGTGTCAGGGACGTAGAGGGGCGCTCTCAGGGGCCCCCCTCCCGCTGATTACAGTATCGCATGGGCGCAGCGTACGGCCCCTGGCTCTTTAAAACTAACAGGCGCCATCGTGCTCATAGGATAACCCAGAGTACGAAATAGCATCCTGTAAACAATGATGTACATTTCGTCATTCGCTGAAGTGATACAAATGAACAGGATTTTTTTTCTTTAACACGTAAAAATTATTTGACGTGTTTTAAACATCAGTGTGACTGATGCAATATGGTAGCGTTACTAATGGTCTATTATTAGATGCTCGATCTCAATTTCTGACTGGATCGTCAAATAATAGATGCTTATTGCATCATTCGCAAAGTGACGAAACTCTACAGTAGACTCCTCATATTCAAAAAGTTATATTTTCATCTTTCGCAAGAAGACGAAACTGTACAGAAGAATTTCCTCGCGTTACAAAGTTATTTTTAGAAGCCTGTTGTAGCTGTACCGCTGAATATAGTAGTACCCCTTACTCGCTATGCAGGACGCTCGATTAACGGATGCCAAGTGCCAACATAGTCGCTCTAAAACTTTGGGCGCCAAGCCGTGTATTGACGAAAATTGTACCATACATGGCGCCGCCCATAAGAAACTTTACTTTTCTTTTTCGCAGAAATATTCTCAGGAGTATTCTCATCTACTCGCATCCGAGTTTTATTTTTTATATACCGTGTATACAGAAAAAAATCGCTCTCCCCTGGGGCGCCGCCCTTGCAATATTAAAAAATATGTTTTTTTGCAGAACCCTGCCATTGAGTGATCTAATCATCTCCCCAAAGTTTCATGGTACACGGATGAACGGTGTGAAACCGAAATAGACTTATATTTTTATAAACCGTATATAGAGAAAAATCGCACCCTCCCGTGGCCCCGCCCTTGCGAAATTAAAAAAGGATTTTTTTTACAGAAACCTTCCCTGGAGTGTTCTAATCAACTCCTCAAAGTTTGATGGCGATCGGATAAACGCCGTGAAACCGCAATCGACGTTTATTTTTATATACCATATATAGAGAAAATTGCACCTTCCCGTGGCGCCGCCTTTGCGAAATTAAAAATTATTTGTTTACAGAACCCTTCCCTATAGTGTTATAATTAACTCCTCAAAGTCTCATGGCTATCGGATTAAGGATGTCAAACCAAAATTGACTTTTATTTTTTATATACCGTATATAGAGAAATATCGCACCCTCCCGTGGCGCTGTTTACAGAACCCTTCCCTACAGTGTTATAATTAACTCCCAAACTTTCATGGCAATAGGATGAACGCCGTGAAATCGTAATTGACTTTTATTTTTATATACCATATTTAGAGAAAAATCGCACCCTCCCGTGGCGCCGCCCTTGCGTAATTAAAAATGATCTTTTATAGAACCCTTTCCTAGAGTTTCATAATGAACTCCCCAAAGTTTCATGCCTATCAGATGAACAGTGTCACTGCAATTCACTTTTATTATTTTTATATACCGTATATAGCGAAAAATCGCACCCTCCCGTGGCGCCGCCCTTGCGAAATAAAAAAAATATTTTTTTACAGAACCTTTCCTTAGAGTATTATTATGAACTCCCCAAAGTGTCATGACTATCGGATGAACGATGTCAAATCAAAATCGACTTTTATTTGTATATACCGTATATAGAGAAAAAACAAATTGCGCCCTGCCGGGGCGCCACCCCGGCGAATTTGATTTTTTGTTTTCGCAGAAACCTCCCCAGGGATATTCTCTACAACTTCCCAAAGTTCGACGCTGATGTGATAATATTTTTTTAAACTGCATTCAATTCTGAGAAGTTTATATAAAATGTATAATTATTTTGCTTTATTAAATGTTATTATTATTTTTTATAAATATTTTAATTAATTATAGTAGTGACTTAATTCACCTATATTTTGCATAGTTAAACATCCTTAAAATAAAACAAAACTGCCTAAAAAGCTGTTGTAGGCCTATATGTTAAGTAAAAGGTCCTAGACTGGCAGGTTAAAAATATTAATTTTATTTGTATAATTTTCACTATTTCTCATTTTTCTCAAAATGTCTTTTTTAAATCAACATAGTACCGCTTAGAAACTTATTTCTCAAAAACTACTTGAAATATTTCATTAAACGTTTGTACCCATGCTCACTAAAAGCTGTTGAAAAAACTAGAGTACAATCTATTCTATATCATTAAAACTTTTTATTCTACAAAATAAATTGCAATGTCCACTCCTGATTTTTAAGGCAGATTTTAAGTCTCAAGTTTAAAAATTAGTCAACAATTCTTTTTTTTAAAAAATGTTCCAATCATTATAGACTAAAATGTTTGTATTTTTGTATTGATGTATATTATATGTGTTTACAACTATATGACGTTTTTGTATAATACACTTTCTATCTGTTTATCTTACTGAACTCTGATTTTTAGATTTTTTACCCTAAAAGTTCAATTTCTTATTACAATTTTAGATATATTCATGAAATTCAAAGAGTTTTGAGGTTTTTCTTAATTGTGTATGATTTTTACAACTTCCTAAATACTTAAAATTGTCCTGACTTATTGATTTCAATATGGTGGTTTAACCTCCTATAAACCGTTTTATTAATACTTTATTCTTTAAAACTGGGCATTGGATAAATAAGGATATAATTTAATTAAACATAGCCTTCGCGTCATTTTCCTAAGTTGGCCAAAGTTAAAAGAGCCAGTATATTTTAATCCAACGGTGTGTGCCTTATCGGACGAGATGATAGTGTAATAGTTATCGTGCGGTAAGTAATGACACGAAAGACAGGTCTTCCACGTAGATAATTCCACGTAGATATTGTACAGTGGGAAATCACATTATTATTAGTGTGACGTTAACTTTAATAATTTATTTATTTATTCTTCATATGAGGTTCGGGCTAAAATATATTATAGAACGAATTTGTTTATGATTCAATTAAATATTTAAAATGCAGATTATGTAATGAGATGTTAGCTGATCAGGATGCATTAGTAAAATACATTGTGTATCCTTTAACAATAATTTAGGCAAAAATGATGAAGAAGTTTACAACACTATCGACGACAAGAAGAACAAGACGAATAATGATCCAGACGGAAGAACGTGGTGTAGTTTTGACGATGTAAGTTGGTTCGATCAAAACAAGGAGGCTATAGATGGTGATGTAAACGCCCCATGTCTACCACCGCGACCAACGGAAAAACAAAACATTGAACTAGCTCTTGTACCGATCAGAAACAATAAGAAAATTCAACATGGAGACGTTACATCAATTGCTTACAAAACAAATGAAAATAGTTTAGACACTATAACCGCGATAGTCATTACATCAGCTTCGATACAAACATCGTGTCTACATCGAGACAGACCTGTACTAACGAATCCTCATATTTCTGATGTTACTGAAATTTGCAGAAGTGCAGACAGATTTTCAGTTTTCATTGAAAGAAAACCAGCAGTTGGAACAAAAAAATCAAGCAATGCAACTAGAATGGAAAACAACAATAGAAATTGCCAACACATACTCCGTGCCCGAGGAGAACGTAGGAGCTAACGATGAGCACATGTATTTACCTTTTGTACAAGGTCAACAATCGGAATCAGACGCTGCGAAAATTGACTCGGGTGAGCTCAATCATGTAAATAATATGGCACAATTGAAGAATTTAATGGAAAAAATAACTTGGACTGATTCAGAGACCTGTGATACTACACTCACTTTGGATGGTCAAAAAAATGAGAAATCATTTCTATTAGCAGAAACGAATACTTATTTTTCGAGTGCATCACCACAACAACGTGACACTGGACAAGTGGTGAGGACAGAAGACAATGACTACATAACTTCGATACAACCAGAATATGTGGATGTTTCTTACCCAGCAAGCACAAGTGATAGCGATGAAAATCTTCCTAGCATACCGCTGTCTACAAACAATAGATATGATGATGGCAACGGCAATGTTGAAAACATCGCTATCCGTTCACCAATCCCCGTCTTATGTAATCTTTCATTAAGGTGTGCTTACATTGATTTTGACGGGTTCCAGGTTCACATTGACGACTTTAATGATCTTCGACGTTACAGCAATAGCGAAAAACTTCAACACACAGAACAGGACGATGAGTACATAACTCCTATAGACAATGACAATGAGTACATAACTCCTATAGACATCGATATGGATTGTCTGCCCTTGACGCAGGTATGCGATTAGTGGGACGGATTAAAAATAGAATCAGAAGAAGTTCAGAAAGGTCAAGTAGAGGAAAGTAGTTTTGTTGTAAATGATGGCGCTGCGCAGTAACCCGTCGTGTGTTCAGCGTTATATTTGTTCCACAATGCTTTTGTTTGAATTTAAATATTTAGTTTTGATAAATCCTTATTTTTTTGTTTTAAATTTATAAGCCAAGTTTATTGTAACAACTATTCTTTAAACACCATTTTTTTTTAAATTAAATTAATAAACACGGTTATAATAAACATTATTCTTTACACACTATTTTTTAAGTTGCCTATAAATTCTTTGGCAATGCTTATTTAACCTGAGTTGTTTTTTTTCGCCTTAAAAGCTATAAATGCTGAAAAACAGTTTTGACCCATGGCATTTTATGTAATTATAATTAGTTTATTTGGGAGTAAACATTTTATAATTTTAAATAATTAATTTTCATTTTAATAATAAAACATAATCTAAAATTAATTAATCGCAGAAATGTCATATTTTTTAAAAAGGGAACTAGTTTCGACATGTCTCTACTAAACGTGTGATTGATTACTTCCCCTAAGCAATCATTCTGTTACCTGTATTTGTGATGCTTTTTCAAAAACATGTTTATATTATTATGAACCAAATATATGTTTTTATCCCGTGATGGGCCGAATTAGTGCACACACGAATTATTTTTATACATTTAATTTCAAATGGCTTTGTTAGCACGTAAACAATTTTCTGCAAAAATCAAATACATTATTCATTTTATATCTTTACATTTTTGCCATTTTTAAAATTAATTTAACCGCTAAAATAATATCGAGAAATCATTTGCCTTGTGATTTAAATGTCAATATTTAAAAAAAAAAACAATTATTAAATCTTTTTAATTATTTGATTTAACTTTGGCCTTCGTTTTTTGTTTTATTTCATTCTATTGTCTGTCTGCCAATATTATAGATCAGCATATCATACACAATATGCAAATAAACAATGTTATATCATATTGCTTTTGGCACATTTAAAGCATATGTCGAAGGAAATTTCGTTCCATAAATTTTTTTTCGCACAAACAGATATTGGTACTTATAAGTACCGTCAGGAATGTAGGACATTTTTTCCGAATTTTTTTTTTACAAAACAGGAATAAACGATACAATTGATTAACTAATAACATGGCAATCATTATAACTGTCATTTTTTGTAATTTCACACATAAATACAGCACAAAAGTATATTTTGAGTACGATTTTTATTGGATTTTCAATCGGAACACATCTTAGACCTCAAACACAGCAAAAGTTGTCTACATGCCATGCTCCCTCATTCTTGTCTGTGGTCATTTTGGTGTAGCAACGGTTGCCGGACTGAACATCGTTTGCCGGAAGCTTCCAATCCAATAGCTATTATTTACAATGAGCCGCATAAACAAACAAAAGTCTAGTCATTCAGTATACAGCTACTAGTAATACTAGTATAATTGTAGCCTACTAGAATGTTATGACAAGTCTACACTACAGTGTAAAGTTCATAAATAGAAGTGAGCTCAATGTGTTTAGGATAGCCGAAGTGGCCAACTGTTTCCTGTTTACGGATTAAAATTTACAATATAGATCTATACTATATGCAGAAGTATCGACTATTACTAGTCTACAGATACATTACGTAAATGCTAGTTGTTGTATGCAAGACAGTTTATTGCAGTAAATATAACTAACAAATTAATCTTACTACTAGAACTTGGCTTTGGTATACAAATGAAGTGTACTAAACCTAGTAAACGAGCCTGCAACTGCTACCTTTATTCTTATTATTCTTTTACTACTAGAAATCAACATGTAATTACAATATTTCTTAGGTAAACCATATGCTAACCTTCTTATAAATGTGTAAATATCATTTTTTGAGTACATTTCGATAATTAATTATCAAAATAATATTTATGTCACTCCACACTAAAAAAAATGACCGTATGCCCTGACGGTACTTATAAGTCCACCGGTAAACATCGATCTAATTTAAAGACAATTTGATTAAAATTGTATAACCAGAAGTTAAACGCGTTTGCCTGACTATTGGAGATGTCAATAAAAAATATTTGGGGATGGAATCTTCAAGAATAAGGTAGAACAAAGGGAAATCAGGAAAGTGTGTGAGAACTTTACAGAACAAATGTAAACTACCGATACATCAAGGCACTGAAATTGGCGCCACACAAAAATTTTTCAAAATACATCGATCCCTCCAACTACCGGTGACTAATGGGAGATAATACTATTAATTACATCAATAATTTTTAAAATTCGTATTAAATTAAAAATAATACAGGCACTTAATTAAAGTGGTAATTATAAGTACCGTCAGTAGATAAAGGGTTAAAACATTAACAGCGTATAAACGGTAAAGACACAAAGAGAGAAATAGAGAGAGAGAGAGAAAGTGAGGGGGAAAATATATGTTTATATGAATATATATATATATATATATATATATATATATATATATATATATATATATATATATATATATACATATATATATATATATATATACATATATATATATATATATATATATATATATATATATACATATATATATATATATATATATATATATATATATATATATATATATATATATATATATATGTAAATTAAATACCAGATGACACAGATTCCTATCAAAAAGCGGTCTCTTATTCGCACTTAGAGCACAAACTAATCTCTTATAGAGCCTATCCCAACATTATTACACCCAGTCTTAACACACACGAATCGCCGACATTTGTAATAAAGTTAATTTGTTTATGACTTTCTTAATAATAATAATTGGTATTTTGACCCCTCCCCCAGCCCCTAATCTGTCCCGATTTGTAAAGAATTATTATTGCCTGCTCGTGAACATCCTAAATGATTAACTCCTAATGAATGTTGTATATTGTCAAAAATATTCATCTTTGATAGTCATTTTTTTCGATCAATAGACTGCAATCCCACGTTTAAAAATCGTTTGTCGGCTGTACTACTTTAAACAAAACACTTAGTCCCTCACTACCCTATCACCTGCTAACGATCTCCCTTTCTTCCCCTGCCACTTACACATTGTATCAAAACACGTACACGAAATTTTGACGCTATTTTACTACATTTTTAACAAAAAGAATGTAAACGTAATATTAATTAAACATGCTAGGTATGCATTGATTGACAAATTATTATATTAGGCCAAACAACCAAACAACACCCCAACACACCAACCATATGCCGCGCACTTACACCCTCACTCACCTTGCACTCATGTGCCAACTCTATGCGTGAGGGACGGGGGAGTTCAAGAAAAGTCGACTTTAATTTTTAACTTTCAGTTAATACCTCTAGCAGCACTCTAACATAGACATTTTTTTTCTAAATATATAAGATACTTATTAACCATACTCTATAAAAAATATATGTACATTATACGACGTAGAAACCCCCAAAACGTATTTAGTGCCTTTAAAACTCATTTAAAAAGAACATTTTTTTTACATTTAGTTATACATTTTTTGGCTACTAATAGAGAAAACATATAAACTGTTCCAAACTCGCAATACAAAATGCATGTTTATGATTTATCAAGTTTTTACGGGGTATTGTTTTCCTTATGCATTATTTCTGTTGAATATATTCAAGTTTGTCACAACGCTTATAATTAGTATGCATTGTGTTTGTGTGGTATTTTTAGAAACCGGACAGCAAACTTATTTTTTGAACGCATAATTTTATTATTCTACACACTAAGTACAGCTGAAGGTGAAAAAAAAATGAATGAACTGTCTACAGTTAGAATAGTACAGTATATAGAATTGCTTGAGTAATAAAATGCCAAAATACTATAAATAGTATAAGAACAATCCATTAACTGACGTAGTTACATCTCACTTTATTCTATAGTGGTCCTTATACTATCATACGCCCATCACAAACCGTTTAAGATTTCCATTCTCTCCCAATAAATGGTACTAACAAAAAGAATGTAAAAACAAAACATTGATCGCTCACAATGTATCCGTTCGCCAAGTTTTCTCCTTTCACATATAGTTCACTCCAAATGCAATACCTCTATAGTCAGATATTCTTCCAGGAATCTCTCCCCCCCCCCCCCCGTCTCCCCCATCGAACGAGATGGAATTTATATAGTAAACATAATTTTACTACTGTCTAGCCCCCTCCCTGAAAAAGTAGCCCCCCCCCCCAAAAAAAAATAAATGCACCCTCCCCTGGAGAAAAAAGTCTGGAATAAACACTGTATATAGTACACGCAAAGTACAGAATGTTAAAAAGTTTATTAACTTGCTTCATTTTATTTTAGTTCTTAAGATTCTAAAAGAATATATTTTTAACAATTCATTAGCAAATTTTAAAATGTATTGCTGCTATACCCTAACACAGCTAAATCTTTCAAATCAAACAGATGACTATAAAGGGCCGATAATCAAATGTTCTGACATAAAAAAATATTAATCAAGAAATGTATTAAGATTGAAATTGGGAGATTTATACAAATAATCTTTTTAAAAATGATAATAATGTAAAGTAAATTAAGTTGTCTGTCGCATTTGGTCTTTCCTCAGTCACTACAGGAAACTTTCGCATAAAATGTAGAACCAATCAATTCCAATGCTATATAATATGATCTAGTTATCACATGTTTAATAATGTATAGCTTAAAATTTAATTTAGCGTATACATACAAACCACTTTATTGAAAGCAAAAAGAAACAAAAGCATAGGTTGATTAAGACATGGTTGGAGTTTTCTGTTTTAAGTGTAAATGATAATTTAATCCGCTCTTTGCAATGTGCGAGGGCCGTTGTATTTATTAAAAATGCATATTTATATTATGTTACCTTAATATGTGATTATACTTTTGTATTTGCTGTATGCCTATTTGTATTTAGAGATGCACCTACGAATTTACTTTTTTTCTTTTTCAAAACACAATTTAGA